GAAGACATCCGATTTTTTTCACATGTGATCTAAACACTGAGAAGGGAACAGTGGAGTAATACATTAACTTTCTTCTCAGGTCCTGTGCAGGAGCTGGAATGTGGAGGACCAAAATACACTATGGAAAAATATACCCTCTCTCCTTGCTTGCTTAACAGAGACTGGAGAGAAGAAGAAAACGACACCTACAGTAATACTTCCCTACTACTCTTGATAGTTCTACAAAAATAAGTGTAGGTCAAGTATTTGAGAGCTATTATGAAACTGCTCTCCTCCTCCATATGAAAACCTCATGAGTGAAGAAGCCTTCAAGGCTCTGCTGTAGCAGGCTTGTCTCCTTCATAAACTTCTGCCACAAAAACTACACCAGTTGGAAATGGCAGCTGGGAACCACACACCATACAGCCAGTTCAGCTGCGCTGGAAACAAAATTCTGATTTAGACAAATTATGCCAACAGGAAAAACATTTGTGTTGGCTTTACTCACATCACAGACCCAAAGGATGAATTTTTGCTGGCGGAAAGATTACTTCTGCTTTTCCAAGAGGGAGCCTTATTGGCCAAGCTGCAGCAACTTTTAGGTCAAAGAGGTGTGAAAAGTTCCAACACCCAAATTTTCCAAATTGTCTTGAAAGCTGATTATAAGATATAAGTTAACTATCCACATTCTGATACATTTCAAATATTTCTGAAATAAGATCTCCAAAGAACAACATTTTTTTAATCTGTCAACTAAAAATTGTCCCAAAGCTATTTTTCTTTTTGTGCACATATATACAAAGAAAATAACTCATTGATCTCACAACCTCTATTTCAGCTATTGCAGTTCACTTTAGAGAGGCAATACTGAAGTGACTGTTCTTAACAATTATACTCTAAACACAGTCACCAAAATATCTCAAGAAGTAGGAGGCTCTTGCCCCTAAAAGCTCTCCTTTTAACTCTTCCATGAAAAAAGAAATCCAGAAGTGATCTGTTCCTCTACGGAATGACAGCATTTCATTCTCCTCCCATCAGAGATGGCAGAATTTTTCTGAGTATCAACAGAGGGCAGATGGATGCACGGAGGCTCACGACTCACATAAGGACTTCTGGGAAAGAAACTACCTATGATTGGACAGGGACAGCTAGAGTTAAGCAACTGTCCTGGCTGACCAGCCACTAAGCAAGGAAAATAAAAGAGTAACTACTCTAAACTGTATACAGTAGCATGCAGTTCTATTTATTAGTATGAGTTAATAGACCAGTGGACTATGAGCCAATAAGATACTGCCTGAAACAAACACAAGGAATTATTTTTTTTTTAAATGCATACAAGTGCCTTCTTGATAGGACATGCAAAGAGGGCTGGAGGCACCCAAAAGTCCTATGGGAAATAGTAATACAAGGAATAGCAGGTGAAAAGGAGGAACGAAAAGAATATAAAAGGAGTCTGTTTCTTTAATTACTCTAATCACCAACAAATAAAACTGTTTAAAAAGAAAAGAGTATTACCTGATCCCAAATATCCATAGTTTGTAATTGCAAAATTGATCACTATCTCATGTGACCAAACACAGAAACAAAAGGGGTAGGAGAAGACCTGGAATCATGCAGCAGGCTTCAGTTTGCCAAAACATTTCCAAATGCAAAATTCAACAATAACTAGAAGAAGTATAAGTACTATTCTGCCTTCTATTCAAAGGCTACAAAACCGAACAACAAAAGCTTTAAGGTGCAATATTAGGTTGTTCAGCTGTTTGGACTACAAACATTATGGAACACCATCTAAAAACCAAAAAACCAAAAAGTTGCTCTTGGACAATATATTTTACTTGTACCTTCTTTCAGACCTCACGTAGTTAAGAAGAGAAGCTGTAAGAATGTCTCCAGAACACACTGCCACTCCAACACGAAGTTTTGCAAGAATCGTGGACGGTCCTTCTTCCCTTCCCCACAGCACCGTATCTCCCAACAGTACTATGCACACACACTTCCAGTGGTTTTTTTTAAGGTGAAAAATCCTCAAAATCTACTCACAAAGCTACCTGAGCAATATCACCATTATACATACGTTAACATTACATTAATAATTAAAAATGAAGCTATTTAAACTGCCTGTGTCCATGTAACTTAGCCCTTTGTGTTGACACAGCACAGCTCTAAACTATTCGATCACAGATTTTTTACCTAGGGACACCTGCCTCATCCCATGCAGAGACTGTACCTCCCTCAAGGAGGGAGCCAGAGCCAGAGCACTTCTCATGGAAGCAGAAGGTGGCCTCATGGACATCATGCATCTTTAACACCAGCCAAGCTGTTCTTTGACTTCTGGGTGTCCCTTTTGATCAGCACTAGAGCATTCATGAAGACCTTTCTGCACCCAGGGATGCATAGAGCATAAGAAAGAACCAAGACAACAGTAGTAAAAAGATTCAAAGCAAATCTTTATGCGGAAATGAAATTAGATGAGTGCTGGCACATCTCTATTTTCTTTTATACAATTCCTGGTTTTTTTCATCCATTTCACATGTGAAAATTCCATAATTTGGAAACATGCTCAAATCCACAACAGTCATCAACAGTCTAAATCTTTTGATCAACCACACCATCATTTTGTGAAAAACAGCTGGATGTCATGTTTGGTGAACTAGCCCTTAGAAGGAAACAAGACACTTGGCTTGTGGCTTTCACAGATTTTTTTCACAGTGGAGGAATGGCAAGATTTAAGGATCTTGGATTTCATTCCTCACATAAGAGGGAATTACATTCTAGGACAAAAGTTTCTCAATCTGCGGTCTGTAAAACATCAGATGGTGGTCCAAAAAATCATCATAAAAATGTATTTTTAAAAACCATACATTCCCACACATGCAAGAAAGGAAACACAATTGAGGAAATACAAAAAATAAAACAAACATTCAAAGTCTATCCTAACTGAATTGCACTGTAACACATCAGAAAATGTGACATTTCACAAGATGATACTTGCATTATTTTAAGGAAATTAAGTGCTCTTGAAACAACACACTGTCCTGCAATATTGCAGTTTGAAAATGCTTTCTTCTGTTCTACCAAATTTCCTAAGTACCCTCCAGAAAATGCCTTGTTACATCCAGTGTTCCTCCCTCCATCCTACTTCCCTAAACCATTACCTGTTTTCTTCATGTCCCACTGTGCCTTCTCTAATTTCATCCTCTTCACAGACACTCTTACAGCCACCTATAGAAGCAACTCCTCCAGCCACTGAGCTCTTTCTCCCTATTTTCATTGACAAACTCTGCCTCAAGTCTTCTGATTCACCCTGAGTTTCAGTTATCACTGTTGGAACATCCTTTATTTCACTGGTTCAGCTGCAGGTGTTTCCTTTCTTAGGACCCTCCTTTTTCACGTAACTTTTTAACCACAGACCCCTGGTCCACACTCTATCTCTATTCCCTGGTTAAAAATCTGGCTTTGCTATCCAGACCTAGTCCTTCACACTCCTCTTTTCAGGGTTTATGTCCCATCCTAATGACCACACATAAACATCCTTGCATCCTGTCTACAGTCAGCTGAGTCAGTTGTCATTCTCTAAGTTGCTTTTCTTTTTTTAGCCAGACAAACAGGCAACAATGCCTATGTTAAATCTCAATACCAAAACAGCTCTACAAAGTCAGCCAACAAAGAATGCTGGAGAAGAACAGTATTAATAGCACAACTGAGATCCCCTCCCTCAAAATCAGTACTTCTGCTCTCATATTTCCCTATAACACTATGATAAAATTTATGACTGTTAAATAAAAAAGTTACCTAAAAAAATACACAGTTGACAGCAAATCTCAACCAATGACCATCTTTTCATATGAAATACATAACATGTAACTTAAAACCTCATTTGCATGTGTTGCTCTGATGCTGCATTCTTCATCAGTTTAAAAAACACAGCTTTTAAACTTTTTTCCCTGAGATTATTATTAATAATTGATCTTTAAAAGTTGTTCCTTTAAAACAAGATACAACCTTTAAATTAAATATACCGAGTAATATATTTAATACAAGCATATTTAACTTATTATATGTATTACTAAATACTGAATTCATACTTCCTTTTTTTCAGGACAATGCTTCTCACAGTTAGAAGTTACAAACTGTATCTGGATGGAAAACACAATTAAAAGCAACAAAAATAATTTAAAATTCAACTAAAAGCACTTTGGTATGTTACATACGTAAAAATCGCAAAAACTATTTTGCATTTAAATCTAAATTAACTACGTTATGTGTGGCTAGCAAGTTTAATGCCTTCATAAGTGAAAAGAAAGATTTTAGAACTGATCTCTTCTTTCCTGACAGTTCTATTTGTATATTAGTAAGAGGAAACTGACTTTAGTTTTCGGTTTCAAGCATATTTAAATTAAGTTTGAGCAAAGTAAGAACTAGATGGGGTATCTGAAAATAAGGAAACTATTCACTTTATATCCACAAAAGACAGTTGCCTCAATTGATTTTGACATGTTGACAAATTCTTTTTCCCAGTGTTTCATAGTTGAGAGCTTTTGTTTTCCTGAGCACTTGGCAAGACACATGTTGTTTTTTTGGTTTTGGGTTTTTTTTAACTATATTTTTAAAATTCATGCAGCATGAAGTGAGAGTTACTTTCATAATACATTTTAAGTATTTTTTTCAGTTGAAAGTTAATTCTAATGTGCTTAAAACATAGTGTTGATACAGCTTCCTACACAGGCCTCCAGCATTATTTGGTCCTCATTCTGAAGTACACACAAGACTTTCTAGGAGCTCAATCAAATAACTTTTCAGCACCATGAATAATCTGTTACATATTTTTAAATACTTTATGACACAGAAAGAATAAAACCAGTATTTGGTTCTTGTTAGTAACTGAGGAAAATCATACAAAATATTTTGTTTGCTACTGAGATGAATATACACAAAAGACATGTTTCCTTGGAATCTGGGCCTTTTTTTGTGCAATATGAGATACAGATTTTCAGCTTCTCAGGAAAATGGAGTTTGCATACCAGCACAGAATATCCCTGGGACTTCACTCCGGAATATAACAGTTCGTACTTTCTTATCAGATTTCAAAGCATCCACAGCTTTTGACATCTACAGAGAAAATGAGGAAGGGGAATAACCAAACACTTTTTAAAGTGCTTAATACCAATACTTCACTTCTATACTAAAAACTATTATTTTAACTTACCATTTTTAAAAGATTTTTGCTAAGCGCATTCTTGGCATGAGATCTATTTAATCCAAGCACCACAATTCCTGGAGGGGAAGAAAAAATGTATCATTGTTACAGTAGAGTAAAATATATACTGTCTATGTAAATTATTTTGAAATTATAGAAGAAACATCGAGGACTGCAGAAAATGCTAATGTAATCACTTAAATACTGAGTTCTTGAAAGAAAATAAATCGACTTACACTTTCTAATGTTAAAAAGTTCAGTGTTCAAAAGAAATTACATTTTTTGTAAGAAAGAAAGTATGCCCCTAATACCTTCACATGGAAACAGGGCTTACAAAGGCTGAATGTATAATTACACAATTGCATGCACAAATGTCATGTTTGTGTGTGAAGTGCTGATATGTAATCAGGAAAGATACTTAACTGTAAAGCACTAGGTTTCTTTTTTAGACAGCTTGCCTTCAGAGAATTCTTAAAGTAAGAAGTGTTAACACACCTAAGACTAGCACCTCTGATACAGGTAGGAGGAAGTCACAAACAGAAAGAATGCTACCAATGGGAAGCCTGACCTTTTGTTTAAAAGGAAAAATATATGTAATAGTTCTCTCCCTAACACACAAAAGCTGCACTCAGTGTTTGCTATACAGCTCCAATCACACATTCACAGCTTCCTTAGCCCACTTAGAGATCACTTGTCTCATTGACTGATTACATGTGCAGTAGTATGAATGTTGCAGCAGAAACATCACTTATTTGTCTTTATTTCGCCCTAATCTTAACAGGCATGATTATCAAACAATAAAATTCTGAGAAGCTTATCTTGGTAAGCTTGCCAATCCTACAGCAATCTTTTAGACAATTACTTCCTGAACGCACTACAATTCTCTGATTTCTAAACACCAGCATACAGTTCTCTTAAATGGCTGCAGCTCAGGTAAGTTCTTATCAAACAGGACTTTTTTTTACCTGGAGAATGCAGGGGTAAGGGAACAAAGCCAAAAGACTAGAACAGGGATGAGGAACGAAAGACAAAAAGGGGGCTCTCTACATCAAACAAAAATGCCCAAAGTATTGCCATCTACAAGATATATATATATATATATATATATTTAAAAAAAAAAAAAAGGAAATTCCAGAAACTCAGTATTTGCCCAGGTATTTGCTACTTAAATTCCCCAAAACATCCTCATTTCATAGTGTAGACTAAATTTGGGGTTTGCATATATGCAGTTCATACTGAAAGGTTCTTGTACTTTTAAGAGCGATAGCAAAAATATGATTTTTATCTGGTTTATCTTGTACTTCTTAGTTTTTTAAAAAATACTCATTTTCAATGTTTGGTGCGAACACATTTAACATTTACTTACAAAAAAAATCCTGTCTTTACACTCATTAGTAATTTTCTCTGAGTTAGAAAGATTCACTAAATCTGTATAGAAAGTACTTATGATAATACATTTATTTGTATTAAGTATACTCACACAAATCATCTATCCAAATGTACCTTTTCAAAACTAAAAAAAAACCCCAAATTAAAATATGCACTGCAAAACAGAGGAAGAATCAAAGAGAGCTAAGCTATTTTTAAGCTTGTCTCAAAGCACTGAGATAAACCAAGGTAGACAAGTTGACTTCGATGCTTGTTATTATAGAATAGGTTTTTCAGCAAAACAAGAATCGATGGGGAGTGTATCATGTACATTTCTGGTAGTTTACACTGATCACCTTATCAAGCAATATTTGAGTGCAAAATCATACAGGTGCATACTAGGCAGTATTTTTTTCAAAAAGGCCAAAAACACTTTTCCAAATCCCTCATCTGCACTTAAAAAACCACTTAAAAATCTTTCCTGTATTTCTTAAATTAGCATATCTGCTTACCCCTGCTTTATTTAAAGAGAGTAAAAGAAGGGAAAGCTTATGCAATTTATCAGCTAGTGACCAGTTTCCAACCTCTGAACAAACAACTTCAACTGAGACTGTATTCATTCTGCCTATTCTATATATGTTAAAATTGTAACTGAGGATGACAAAAAGCTGTCTTACATCCTCGAACTCAACTAACAACAGCTGGAAAATATAAGCACAAAGAGTCATTCTAGTGCAAAATCTGAATTTTACAAATATTTTTATCGCATTCCAGCAAGTGACACTACAATACTTGAGTCAAGACTGCAGATATTTCTCCTGATTCCATCTGTAACTTGAAGTGCAAAAGCCTTAAAATTTGCAATGGGATCACTAACGCAACTTGGCTAAAAGTTCTGAAATGTCAACAGCTGTAGTACATTTCAGCCCTAGAATCTCAAAGTAAAAGCTATGTCTTTAATTGAAAAATACTAACGCACTGACATTCACCTATACTTACAGAAAACTGATATAAAAAGCTACACAAGTTGCAACACTGTTCAGAATACACAGGCAGTTTACAATCACGTTCTTCAAAAATCTCACACCTTTTGTATTCTAGTTGGGTTCAAATTTGGAAGCTGAAGAGTGTCGAGTTAAAATCTTAATAATGACCCCTTTCAAATATACTCTCAGTTTATGTTTATAAGTTCCCAAAAATGTGGGAACTCAGGTCAAAGTGTTATGAAGCAGGACAGTTTGGTACTTTGCCTGCAGGGAAGGATTTGTCTAGAGCTACAAAATACATGCTTCTGTGCAAGGCAGCTACATTCAGTTTTCCTGCCTCCCAGCATCCTCAGCTGTAAAAGCCCCGGGACAAAACAACTTCTCCAGGTAGCACAGAAACACTCACAGCATAAACAAGAATGCGTGAGCTGTAAAAGGTAGTCCCAGAGACTAGACCTGTGTGTGGTCAAGAAGTATGTAATGGAAGAGTACGGATGAGGCAACAGCACCTGAGAAGGTCTAGAAAATGAACTGGTGGAAAAAAGGAATGGTAGATTAGAGGAGAGTAAAAAAGAACACAGGAAATCATATGGAGTTAATGCACTAATCCAGCAGTTATTACAGGCTGTAAGCAGATAAAGACAGACAAACTTGTCACACAATACAAGGTGGAGGGTGAGCAGTACCAGGATGGAGAGGAAGCAGAGACGTTTCTTTCACAGGAAACTTACGTCTCCTCCAGGCTTAAATCTGAGGCTCTTGTTTTTATCCTTTATTAATAAACAAGTATGTTTTTCCATGTTCTTCTGAAAGGCAACGCCAAACAAAATCCCTTCTCCTAAAAAGAATTAATGAACTTAAAATAGATTGATTAAATGCCTCTTTATGATAGCCACAGCTGATTTAACTCTCCAAATGTTATCTCCATGTTTTGGAGCATTTTTAATGCCACAGTTAACAAAGATGTATATTGCCAGAAGGAAAGAAAAAATAACTTCACAAAGATTTTTTCAAGGGAAAAAATAAAAACTGGGTTACTGACATGCAAAACTTTAGCTACCTCTCTACTTTTTCTTCAGAAGCCTCCTTTAATTCTATGCCCAACTGATCTTACAGTATCAGTTTAAACTGTAAGTTTAAACCCATTACCCCTTGTCCTACTGGTACAGTCCTTGATGAAGAGTCCCTTTCCACCATCCTTGTAGGCCACCTGCAGATACTGGAAGGCTGGAACAGCCCCAACTTTCTCAGCCTGTCTTCACAGAGGTGGCGCTCCAGTACCCTGATCATCCTCGTGGCCCTCCTCTGTACCTGCTCCAACAGCTCCGTGTCCTTTTTGCGCTGAGGACACCAGAACTGTACACGATATTCCAAGTGAGGTTCCACAAGAAAAGAGTAGAGGGGCAGGATCCCCTCCATTGACCTCCTGGTCATGATTCTTTCGATATCAACAACTTTACTGACCCTTAACACTGACAGAAAAACTTCTGCTTGAATGAAAGTAGAACCTCAGTTCTCCTTTGAAAAAGAATCATGATAAAATTCAAAGTTTTAAAGTTGCCTCTCTGCATATGTATACAAAACTGTATCTGTGCATACTCAAGTCACAGGTGCTCGCCTGAATTAGCATCAAGTCCAAAATAACTGACTTAACATGCTGAAAGACACAAACTGAATTGCACATCACAACATACGGTTACTCCAAGACACAGCAGTTACATAAAGACAATGCGCTGCAGCTGAATAGAGCTCTACACTGTGGCCCTCTCCATAAAAGTAGGTACAGCATCATGGTTCTAAAATAATAGCCCTCAGGAAGGGAGCTTGCACTTACTATTTCCCCACCATTCCTAGCCCTGCTGCACCCAAACCCCTGCCTATGGCAGGGGGCTTGGAACTAGATGATCTTAAGATCCTTTACAACCCTAACTACTCCATGATTCTAGGATTCTAAATGGGAAGGAAGTGACAAACACCAAGGGAGATGAAACACCTCCAAAGGAAGAAGACCTCTAAAATGTGTTCAGCATCAAACCAGAAGAGGAAGCACAAAGCATCCATGTTGTGTTGCACTGGCTCCAGATCACTCTAGAGCATGGATTCACTTCCTTTGTCTAACCAGCTGTATTAAAACAAGACTGTTGGTATAGCTAAGCAGAGCAAGGTCAGCAGCAGTTGGTAGCACTACAAGGAGGAGAGTAAGATGGCTACTTGGAAAGCAGCATGAGATGAGCAAGACTGATGTAGCCACACACCCCAGAACAGAAAAGGCTGAAGCTACTTCTGTGCCCTTGTCTACCCTGCACACAAGCAGAAAAGAGGTAAGCAGCACGACTCTAGCAGTTTGCTGCTAAACTTCCTTTTCTCCCATTAAAGTGGCCAACACATGTCCGCTTATAAAAGGGTGAACATAGACTACGTACAGTATAGCACACTGAAAAGGAAAAACCAGGAGACCCCAAGCAGACCCAGCTCTGCAGCTGCCACACCAGCCACAACCCCCACCCTGCGACGAAGCCACCGGCCAGGGTAAGGAGGAGGAGCTGCCGCTCCCTTCCCGCCCCCGACCGGCAGTGGCTCCCTCGGGACCTCCCCCTCCCTGCCCCACCTTAGGCGGCCGTCCCACAAAGCCTCGGTGGCGCGGAGGGGTCACCCACGAGCCGGGGTAGTGGGTGCGGGGCAGCCGCGCCGCTGCCGCCTTCCGCTCGTTACCTTTGTGCTCGTCATCCAGGTAGCGTATCCGCAGCTCCTCCTCTTCCTTCGCCTCGGAGCCGTAGCTCTTCCCGGCCGAGGGGACAGTGGCAGCGGCGCCTCCCTGCACCGGCGCCCGTTGGCTGGGACGGCGGAAGGAAGAGATCGCGGCGGCTGTGGCTGCCAGCCTGACTCGGCCTTGCAGTAGGCCCAGGCCCCGCAGCGCCGCCGCCATGCTGCCGCCCGCGCCGTCTCAGCCTCTCGCGACCGCCGGCGCCGGTCCCGCCACCCACGTGACCCCCGGCTCCCTCCTTCCTTCCTCTTCCCGCAGCCGAGGCGCGAGGGCCCTGCGTTTTACCGGCGGCCCCCCGGGGCGCCGCTGGCTGCAGGCGGGACCGCGGGAGGCTGTGGGACGGGACGGGATGGGACGGTGCAGGGCAGGGCTTGGGCCTGGGCTGGCGGTTCTAGCTGTGGCGTCAAGCGGGCCGGGGCCTGCTCTCCTAGCCGCAGGTGGCGAGGGAAGGCTCATTAGCCGGGAGAGATGTGGGATGTTGCGCCTGGAGCGCGAAATACACTGGCACATAGAAAAGTCTCACACCGGGAAAACCTGCTGTTCAGTTTTACTGGGAGTTCGTGGAAATTACCACGTATCTATTTGTGGTGAACATTCCTAGACCCCATCTCATGAGCAACATGCTGGGGCTCTGTGACACCAGAGTAAATGTGCACAGGCTCCTCTACAGTAGCTTCTGTGCAACTACTGCAGCCATGGCCAGGCCTGGCAATGGCATCAGCACTGACTACAGCAGTGAAAGTTAATAGCATAACCATGGTACAACTTACAGGCTGGGGTCAAAACCACAACAGCAGGTAGCACCTGGTTCTGCATGCTGAGATAAAAGGCTTCTGGCTTGATTTCCTTGTGTTGCTGTATGCCCACCCTCCTCTTTCTAGGTACTCAGAATTGCTTTCCACCTAAATCTGCCTCTTTGCAAAAGTAAGGGTCAGACTAATGTGGCCTGGTATTCAGAACTGAGTCTAGTTGTTTTAGAAACCCTGCCACGGGGTCTCCTTGCCATCCATGCATACTGACAGGCATACTGACATGATGCGAGTCGAAGGATGTAAGTGATTATGGTGCACATAGGAGATAGGTTCCATCTTTAATTGCAAATGCAGATGTTACAAGACCACTATGACCTGTTTCAACAGGACAGTAGAATTTCACCTATCCATATGTCAATACCGTAACATTTACATGGACCAGAGTATGTACGTATTAAATCAGTTCACTTGACTCCTTATGCAGGACTTGAGAAAGGTTGCCATAGCTGTGGTTAGTTTGAGACAGTAATGAGACTTAAAAAGCTGTAAAGTTTGTCTTCTTCAGGTTTATTAACCTGAAAAAAATAGGCTTTGAGAATTGAAAACATGCCAGTGAGCCACATCCTGTCGTTTTCAAAACTCAGTGTTAATTAAGCAGGGGGACAGAACTGTTCCAGTTCTGAGCCGAGGGTCAGATGCAGCCATTTTGGTTGTCTGCGAAAGCCAGCTACTGCATTCCTGTCCTTCATGCAGTTGCTCAGCAGCTCTTCCACTGCTTTTCTTCTGGAGAAATGAAAGCCTAAAAATAATGACCTCTTTGTTCTTCTAGAGCACCATGAAGGGCAAATGTAGGGGGAGAAACAGACAATTGCCTTGCATTTATTATGTTTTACTATTTAAACAGGACTATAGCTTTGTGATTAACAGCCTGTGCCAATACAGCCTGCAGTATGCTGAAGTCTTTGCCAGCAGAAAGGAATAAAGAATGCCTGACCTGGAAATTTTGTTCACAGTCAAAGAACATTTTATTTTATGAGAACAAATTTTGAAATACCACACCCAATTATGTCAACAGAAACAGGGACAGCACCATTCTAAAAGGCACAGAATAAGGTGAAAAGACATTAAAAGCAGAACTAGATTGACTACAGTACCATAACGTTGCCTTGAAACTGAGCAGATGTGGTGTCATTTGCAGTGGTTCCCAGACTCAAGAACTAGTGGATGCTTTCCTGGGCAGAGGTCAGTATATGGAATCAAGCCCAACAGAATAGCCTCATCTGTTGTAAAGCACGCACAGTCATGGTTAAAGCTGAAAGAATTTTAGCAGTACAATTTTCTTGTATGCCATCACTGTTTGGTTTTATTTTCTTAGTGTAAGAAGTGAAAGTTAATTTCTGTTCACTTTTGCTTCAGTTTCACACTTCGAGGTTGCTAAGGCATGTTTACAGCTATACAAAAAAGTTTTCATTTCTGATTACCTCTTCAGTGTTTTCTGAAAACAGAATAGTTGTGAAGAGTGGTAATAAAACTATAATTGTAACATAACAAAGTTAGAATTCCTAAAGGTCTTTTGCGTGCTACAGAGTAAATGTTTTTAAAAATGAAATTTTAAATTTTGGCAGCAAGAGCAAGATGCCAGCTACAGTGGGTCATTCTGTTCTTTGAACTGTGTCTCTGTATGTTTAAAACAGCACGATACTTGTCTTAAGTGTGTTTTGTTGTGGTAATTCAATACTACAGTGCATTTTGTAATACTGTGTAGTTAGTTCCTTTCACTGAACTGACATACAGGCATGAATCAAAACTTTTTGGATGCAAGTGAAGTTTTCCAATTCTCTTGCTGTTTTTTTTTTTCACTGAAGTTTAGTTCTAACAACACAACTTTAAAGTAGTACATGGAAAGCACATTTAGTTACAGAGGGAAAGTCTATTGGCATGCAAACTGTTATTTACACATATATACTAATAAGAAAAAAAATAAAAAATGGAGCAACTGGAACAGAACTGTTAAGCAGCAACCTAATAGTGTATGACATTGCTTGGTAACCTGGTTCCTGCTGCACACGGAAATCCAAATATTGGTACTTGGTGATGAGTAAACTGAATTGATATAGCACAACTGTATAAATCTTGACTCAGCCTCCCTTATGCCCAGAGAAGCAATGTGAGCATGAATGTAGAGCCAGTGTAGATGGAGAACAGCTCAGCAGTTCTCTGCACTCAGCTCTAACTTTTAATATGGTCAGTCAATCATAATCTAATTCAAGGGAAAAAACTTGAAGGTCCTTCACCTTAATTAATTTTACTTTTGAAATTACCCTGAAAACCACATTCACATCAGGTTGCAGGTTCTCACAGTGTACGGAACTGAGACTGAAAAGCGAAAAGTACAGCCCCTTTTTTAGCTTTGCTCACAGCTTTTGTTTGAAAATGCAACCTGAAGGGACAGGAATTTGGGTAGGGGAATGGTGTCCTTTCTCTGGTTTTGATACATTCTGTTGCAACTTAGGCAACACAGCTTGTATGTGCAGAAATCAGAGGATGGCCTACATGGTTAGTGAGGAGAAGTTTATTGTTCAGCATGCTTCAGTGCTGGGCACCTGCCGTGATTCACTTTCAGGGTTACAATATCACTCTTTAAGTATAATGGGTGAGTGTGGCCTCTTAAGATCTGAATTAGGTACCTAAAACTAGGGAGAGTGAAAAGTACTTGTGGATGTTCAGTTAGGCATCTAGTATTACTAAAAATACTAATAAGACATTTGAAATGAGACAGAAGAATAGCTGTTACACTAATTTGCTACTTTACAGGTGACAATGAAAAGGTACAGACAGTATGTACAATGCAGCAGGAGTAAGGATGGAAAGGAATCTCAGCTGGTTCTAAGTGGCTTTGATTTTATTACATTGTGCATGTAGATGAGGTGCATTGAATAGTTTCATTTTTCCTGGATGAGCACGTCAGTGGCAGCATTTAACCAAATGAAAGGCAACACATGCTACGGAAAAATGAAGCACGCAATTGTGGCTTTTCAGGCTGAATCACTTGTCTCTGTAAAGTGACTTGATACTTGAGAGCAAGATCCGTTTAGCGACCTGTTCTCTAAGTTGGTTTATAAAAGTGGTTTCAGTTTCACACCACCCACCAGGAACTTTTGTCTCTTCTAATTTTCACATCTTTCCTTTTTATTAATGGCAAATTTTTTCTGATTATTATGTTATCCAGTTAGCACACCTGCGTTTCCAATCTTGATTTTTAACTTTTTTTAAAGCCTTTTTGATCTTCTTTAAACACTGATACTGTGAAGACAAGTTCGTTGTTATGTATTATTAAGCATGTAGTACACACAGCATATTCCCCTTTCTGGCACCACGCCTATTCACTATGTTTTGCAGGCAGCTGTTTCCTTAGATTGTCTGTTTTCTTTCTTCTCAGTGCAGTGTTGAGATTATAATGCTAAACTCTATGATGGGTTTACAGTTTACTTTTTCTTTTCAGAAATTATTCTTATTAAACTCAGAGTAATTGGGTATGCTTACAAGTTTGCTTACATGGCACTTATTACCATGTTCCAGCATGTGTAGATGAAAACGTACTTGTGTGTCACTCATGCTTTGGAGTAAAGGACAGATTTTGTCTTTGCGTTCATGTCAACCCCATTTATTTGTGTGTCTGATCTTGCATCTTTAAAATTGAGACAACTGCATTGAATTGTTGTAGTTCATCCTGGCATATGTACGCCAACTACACAAGGGACTTCTTACTTGCTTACTACGTATCTGCTTCCCAGACATGGAAGGCAGCATAAACCACACTGTATGACCATTCTCTGCAGATCACAACCAAGGTAGATGCTAAAACGATTTCAGGAACATAAATGTGCCGAACAAGGCTTCTTGCACGGGTAAATTGGCAGTAGTTGCCACAGACCTACAAACATGTAATACTGGAAGATCAGACCCTTAAGAGGGCCTTAGGTACTTAGGAATTTGGCAGATACTCTGTAAACAAAAAATACAGAACGTTTTCTTCTGGGGCAAGGCACATAGTTTATCCCAAAAGGGCATGAAAAAAAGGTATTTATTTCTGTGGTATTTAATGTAAGCAAAGATAGTGGGAATAAAGAATTGATGAACAACAGAGATTGCTAAAAAATGAGATATTTGTGTCTAATTACAACTCCAAGTCTTTGATTGTGATATAGGTCTTCTTTTGCCAAAGCTTTTAAAAAGCTTTCTTGTATTTTTGACATAGCTCAACAGAACAGATATTCACCGGCTTGTATAAATAACATTGCATTCAGGCAAATTGCCATCAAACTGCAACATCGTTGAGTGCTTTCCTTAAAGTGAATGTATGCTGTTTGGCTATTTATAAATGTTGTTAAAATCATTTATTTTCTTCATGATCAGGCTTCTACACAAGCCTTTGTGTGAAGCAGTACTCCCCTTCCATCTTTATGTC